TACGCCCTTCCCAATTTTGAACCATGCAGTGTTCCCTTGCTCTGTTCTGACAACTGCCTCCTCGTCCAAGTATAAGTTTCGCGTTAGAACGATCAAGTGTTCTGAGATTCCCATTCTTCTCAGAGTCAACCATAGTTTGTTATGATCTACACAGTCAAATGCCTCTTCATAACATGTCCAAAATAATGTGCAGTAAAGTCTTGCCAAGCTACATATGCAAGTTCTTTGTCTGGTTTTACCCCTTTTAACACGGTATGTACCTCCCCTGCTTGATAGATAAGTAAATAAATTTAGTTCTCTGGCTCTTAGAATGACAATTGAATTTATTGAGACTCTGTTGATTGAAGATGTTATGGTTATGGCCACAGATCTACCGTGGATTGCTTTACCTGCCCAAAACACAAAGTATGAGGCTTTATTTCTTGGTAGTTCATTCATTCTCTCTTTTTTTCCCAAATACATCAAAAGGAAACTTGTTAATCTGGTAGCTGTCTTTTACTAGGTTGAGACTATGTATGTGTTTCTTTTAGACTTTTAAAAATATTCTTTTAAAAATTGGGGAGCTCTGGTGGCCTAGTGGCAAGAAGCTGCACTGCAATCCCCAAGGCACATGTTTCAAATCCACCAGATGCTCCACTGGAGTAGGAGAGGCCGTCTCCTCTTATGCCAGTCAGGTCTGATTCGATGGTATAGAAGAAGGAAAAAAAAATTTAATTTTTATTTTATATTGCTTTGTTTATAAAGTTCATGTATGTTGTGTTTCATACTAACCTTAATTCACATTGTGTTTTATACAATCTTTCTCATTCGTTTATTGTTGTTGTTGTTATGTGCCGTCAAGTCATTTGCGACTCATAGCGACCCCATGTACAACAGCCCTAAACCCTGCTCTATCCTGTGCCAATTGCATTGCCTCTGACACACCCATCCCAAGTACCCCAACCACCGAATCAGTCCACCTCATAGAGGGTCTTCCCCTCCTGCGCTGTCCCTCTACCCTCCCAAGCATGATGTCCCTCTCCAAGGACCTGTCTCTCCCTACAGCATGTCCAAAGTATGTCAGACGAAGCCCCAGAATCCTTGCCTCCAAGGAGTAGCTTGGTTTAACCCTCTCCAGGATGAATCTGTTTGTTTTCTTGACAGTTCAGGGTACATTCAGTTCTCTTCTCCAGCACCACAGCTCAAAGGCATCAGTTCTGCTTCTATCCTCCCTAGTCATTTTCTAACTCTCTGATGCATAACAAGTGATTGCAAAGACTATGGCCTGTATCAGGCACACCTTAGTTTCCAGAGACACCGTTGCTCTTGAGTACTTTAGAGAGGTCCCTAAGAGCAGACTTTCCCATCACAATAAGTTTTTTGATTTTGTGGCTGCTGGTGCCAAAAGTGTTGACTGTGGAGCTGAGCAAACTGAAGCTGTGAACAATCTCAATCTCTTCGCCATCCATCGTGATGCCACCAATTGGTCCAGTGGTGAGAACATTTGTCTTCTTGACATTGAGCCTCAGTCCATACTGAAGGCTGAAGTCCTTGACCCTCTCCAGCAAGTGCATGAGGTCCTCCTCAGTTTCAGCAAGCAGGGTTCTGTCATCTGCACAACGCAGATTGTTAATACATCTTCCACTAATCCTGACGCCACACTTCTCCTCAAAGAGCCTAGCCTCTCAGATAATCTGCTCTGCATACAGGTTGAAAAGATATGGAGATAGGACACATCCCTGGCGTACACCCTTCCCAATTTTGAACCATGCGGTGTTTCCCTGCTCTGTTCTAATGACTGCCTCTTGGTCCAAGTGTAGGTTTTGCAATAGCACAATTAAATGCTCTGGGATTCTCATTCTTCTCAGGGTCAGCCACAGTTTATGATCCACACAGTCAAACGCCTTTGCATAATCAATGAAACATAGATAAGACATTCTTCTGGTATTCCTGCATTCAGCTAAGATCCATCTAACATCAGCTACAATATCCCTAGTACCATGACCCCTTCTAAACCCAGCCTGGACTTTCGGCAGTTCTCTGCTGATGTGCTGTTCCAGTCATTTTTGGATACTCTTCAGTAGAATCTTGCTTGCTTGTGAAATCAATGATATTGTTCTGTAGTTTCCGTACTTAGTTGGGTCACCCTTGTTTGGAATGGGAATAAATATAGATCTCTTCCAGTCAGTTGGCCACGTGGTTGTTCTCCAGATTTCTTGGCACCACTTGGTGAGCACATCCAGGGCAGCATCTTTTAGCTAAAATATGTCAGTTGGTATACCATCTATTCCTGGGGCCTTATTTTTTGCCTTTTCCTTCAAAGCAGTTTGAACTTCTTCATTCATCACCATAGGATCTTGCTCAAATGTTATTTCATTAAATTCTTCTGTATCTGCCAATTCCTTTCTATACAGTGACTCAGTATATTCCTTCCATCTTCTTTTAATACCTCCTGGATCATTTCATATTCTGCCTAAAGCATTTGGTCATTGTGTTTTATAAAATTAATTACTATTGAACTATGCCCACCATTCCCCTGTCTTTCCAGATCCTTGCCATATCTTTCCCATTTTCTTTACCCTACCCCCTACCTACAAAATTGTGTGACTGTATGATTTCTTCCTGACCGTCCTCAACCTGTCCTCTCACTCTGCCCCCTTTGCATCCTCATACACGTTTTACTAGTTATCTTTCTGTTTCTTCAATAATAGTGTTGGCAGTATTTGTCCTTATGAGACTAAACTAGTTCAGTTAGAATATTGCTCTCCACTCTCTTCCCAAATGCCTAGTTTTAACCTGAAAGGTCTAATTCCTTAATAGTATCTCTGAATTCCCAAAAATATCTTGATTAAGCAAATGTTACTGACTCTTTTTTTTTTTTTTTTTTTTTTTTTTTTATGTGTGTACCGTCAAATTGGATCTGACTGGTACAGGAGGCGATTGTTCCTCCTTCTTCAGCAGAGCATCTGGTGGATTTGAACCATGCACCTCGTTACTGACTCTTAAGGAGGGTCTGTCTGTGGGACACTTCTCTCAGAAGATTAAATCTTTAGCACTGGTTTTATCATTTGGCATTAGTAAAAGTTCATCTGCTTTAGGTTTGCTTTGGTGTGACAGTTTCATGTGTATGACTGAAACATGCTCTTTGTTTCAGGAAACACTATTGAAGGTACTAGTGAAGGAATTTGAGAATTTCTAGAATCTTTTGAATTATGTAAGAGGTAAACTTTTTGTTCTTGAAATCTTGTTATACTCAACAACAATAGTAATTATCCAAAACCTAGGAAAGCCTGGAAGAAAATTTTACTTTCATTGAACCTAACATAAATTCTTACTCACAGTAACATCTGATTGATTGTATCTTTAAAATAGAATGTTCTTGGCATAGGATTTAAGATTAACAGCTAGTTTTACAAGATACATTTATTTATCTATTCATTCATATGTGTGTGTGTTTATAAATATATAATTGCCCTTGAGTTGGAACTGACTCATAGCTGACACTCTAGAGAGTTTCTAAGATTAAAATACTTGGGAGGGGACTGCCATTCTTTTACCACAGAGTCACTGGTGGATTTGAAACAACAAAGTGATGCAGCCTTTGGTTAGCAACATTATTCCCTATAGATTATGCCAAGAGAGCTCTCTTAAATTGTATATATGTAAGAGCGCACGTGCGTGCGTGTGTGTGTGTGTGTGTGTGTGTGTAGGAGCTCTGGTGGCCTACTCGGTCAGGAGTCCTAGGTCACCTGTTGCTGTACCAAGAAAGATGAGAAGTCTGTGCAGTTTACAGCCTCTGAAAATTGCTGAAGTGCCACCTGTGACTCAGTTCTGACTCTGGCAATGAGTTGGGGTGTTGGTTTTTTTGAATGTATGTATAACTCAATTTAT